TCCAACCCCTTCAATCTTATCGTATTCAACCCATTTGCTGTATCCTCCTTATCATTTTACACCACTTCTTGCCTATGGCCATTTGTTGATGACTTAACCTCCTCAATTGCAGCACATTTACCTACAACAACCTGTGCATAAGATACCCCAGGACTCACCTTTCTATCCTTTCTCACCCATTGTTTTCCAGACTGCTTGCTCAACTCCAGTGCTATCACTTCCCTTCCCTTTCTCATATTATCAACTAATTTCACCTTAAGATGATAGGAATCTAGCCTTATTTGATTCAACTTCCTCTCCATACCCTAAACCTCTGAAACACCTGTCATCTTGACGAAACCAAACCGATGCCCTCTTCGATCCCTCCTTGTTGGAATATATACGTCCACCACTTTCCCAAATGACCAAAACTAAACCACAAATCCTTGGTTGACCAATTTTCTGGGAAATCATAGAAAAAGTACGTAGTTGCTTGGCCTAAAAACTGATTACCATATCCTAGAAGCCGCCACCTGAAACTATTGTCCTTGGCTGTCAGAAACCTCACTCGAAACCTCACACCCTCGCTCCCCATTCGAAAGTAGACAAGTTAATGAGAAAGTCAAGAGGGATTTGATAATAAGTAGATATATATATTGTTAAACACTACAAGAAATGGGGTCTTTACAGGCGTGTAAATGAAGGAATTTCAGGCACTTTTGAGCATTGTAATGATCCTTCAGGCGCTTTAAGAAGTGCCAACCATGGGCCTGCAAATATGGTGTTGTGAAATACAACATCGGGAGAACCTTTTTGTACCAATAGATAGCCCATTTTGTAGGCGCTTATTTTGAGCGCCTATAAGCATCCACTTTCTTAGCACTTAAATTTTGAGCTCCGGTATTCAATCCTCATCTACATTTTTCACAATTTTCCCCCTTTTTACATTCCAAAATTTTTTTAATTTTATAACAAAATTTAATTCATTCAAAACCTATTAAATATCAAAACACTCAAAATTAACCAAATATGTATTCATTTATATTTCCAATTAACCAAATATTCATACAGGTACAATATTTCCACCAAATATCACCGAATGACATATGGTGGCAGTGTGTTAAAAAAAAAACCAAAAATCAAACATCAGAGTTTAAATAGAGCCTTAGCAGAATATTAAAACTCTTGTTGCATTTGGCTAGAAGAGGACTGGCGAAGATAATCAAATTCATGAAGAAGACTTGTGACCAAAGACAAGGAGATAATCAAATTCATTCTGAAGTAGTTCTAAGATAGGTTTCTAACATAAAAGCAATTACAGGACTATAAATGGTTGCATACAAGAAAAAATGTGAAAAAAATGGTAATCTAAAGCAAATCTTTTGATTAAGGCTTACTATACAAAGCAGTTAAAGAAAAACCTTTTCTTTCAAGAACTAAAACAATCCAAAAAAGTAATAAGATGATAAAGCAAAGTAAAATGGGTAACAAAAATTACCTGATATGCTAATTGGTAGAGAAGATTTGTCCTTGAACCTGAGAAGTCTTGTGATATCCAAATAATGAAGATCAAGTTTCAGTTGTGACCATTAAAGTTACTTCAACATAAAGGAGGTTTTGCATTATGAGGTGAAATTAAAGTTAGATTCCTCAACCACTACCATTGCCTACAACCTATTAGCAAGAAATGAAAGCTCATTGGCAACAATGGAAAATGGGTAAAGTTCTTTAGCATAAAAGATAGAATATCCCAATCAAAATGAAGTAACAAACAAGGACTGATGTGTATGCCAGTATAAATCAACATACTAGAATTTATAAGAATCAAGTTATCACATCAGAATTCATAAGCAAATGAAACCAATCAGATAAATTAAAAGTCATTGAACCAGATTCGCAATCAACATACCAAAAATCGCGAACTAATAACTAAGAATTCCATAACAAATACCTAAGAAGATCCAAGAAGAAGAAACAAACTTGAAGTTCACCGTCATTCCTCCCTAGATTCACCATAGATCGTGAAATCAAAACATGAGAAGGATATGTGTTAGGGTTCGAAAGTCATTCCAATGAAATTAAAATAAGAGGAAAATGGCGGAATGTACTTTAATCAAAAGGAGATTCAAAGCTCAAAGTAGAAACTAACTTGAATTTCACCGTCAATCCTTCGCAAATTACTGTCTATCACTAAATCCAAAGTAGTTAGGTGAGAATCATGGCGGAGGGAACTTAGTAGACGAATAAGGAGGGATTTCCTTCGAGGCAATTAGGCGTGTAACTGAAAGTGCCTATCTCTACCTATATGCATGTAGGAATTTACCAACATGACTCGCTAAACGCTTGAAAAAAAAAGCATGGATAAAAGCCAAAATTCTTGTAGTGAAATAATACTCTTTTCATTCAAATTTGATAGTCCTATTTTAACTTTTTGATTTTTCATATATGAATTTTAGATAAAAATTTAATATATTAAATAAATAATAATCAATTTTTTTAAATAAAAAATGAGTTTGTCCTAATTTTTTTTCCATAATGCTTTAATGAGATGGTTTTAAAATATTTTTTTGGTAAAATTGCAATTTAAGTTACTTGTAATTTGAGATAAGTATATATACAAACTTGAGGTTTTAAAAGATGTATATAACATAGTTGTGGTTTTAGGTATGTGCAGATAAAGATCCAAGATATCAAAATATGTACATAAACACTTGGGGTTTGTACTTGATGCATATAATCACTTGAAATTTCTTTAAAACCCTTAATTTAAAACAATGAAAAGAAAAGAAAAATAAGAGTATTTAAAATAATTTCATGTAATTTCAAATGGTTGTGTACACTTAATATAAATTTTAGGTCTTCATTTGCAAATCTTGAAATCTTTTTTTATACACCTACTTTAAATCACAAGTATGTTATATGTGCATTTTAAAATTTCAAATCTTT